TACACGCAGGCCGGCCTCGCGTGCGACGTGCCGTGGTATCGCACGGCACCGGCAAACAGCCTGGCCAGGACGCCGCGGGGACAGAGTGGAGCGTGCAGCACGGATTCAGGCCACTTTCACAGCTTTAAAGTGTCCTGCCAGCCTGGCTGAGTTAATGAACTTCATTGAAGCATCAAGACAATATTAACAGGAACAAATTTTCTTCCATTTTCCCATATTAAGTTTCTGTTTTATAGATAAGAAAAGCTTGAGTTTCATTAGAAAGGATGATGGCTTTTAATTATTTTTTTCTAGGATTTCTGGGAGTATTAAGCTTTCTAGTACAAAATATAGCCTATAAATAAGATGCAGTTACTGGGCAAGTGACCAGCTCCTCAAACTAAAGATGACAGATACCCAGCTATTACTTATTATAATGACTGTACATATGGTCCCGATAACAAGAGAGGAATTATAGCCTAACGGGCAACAGCGAGGCTGCCCACGTCGTTGGTGCTCAGCTTCTGGAAGGTTCTTGCATTTCATACATGTCACTGCCAAACGAATACCTACAAATGTTGAATCCCTTGTCAAAATATCACCTTGGGTCCCCCCACCCCCCACCCAGTTTTACCTATATGAATATATGTATTCAAGGGCCCCTCTCACGTGCTGGGCCCCCCTAATCTGCCACCATATCCAAGCCCCTCCCACATCCCTGCCATTGTTGTTCCATCCCAAATGTACATTCTGGGTTAATTATGACTGGTGTTAATTAGAATGTCTAGAACGTCATTACAAAAATATTGGAAGAACCTCTTATAAAATACTGAAGCTTTGATCCCGAGTGAGTGTATGGGAGACCCGTCTGTGACGTAACATTTTGTTCTAAGGCCATTAATATTAATTACCAAGGCAACCCTCGGTGCTGTTGCTCTGTAATCCCTCATCTCTTTTTAAAAATCAATATTTAATGAACTCATAGTGTTATGACACAATTACTGTGAGCATGTATACATTCTTATCCAAACCGTTTAACAATCCGATTTAACAATACGTGTAAAATGAATCGTGAAAGCGCTCTTACAAAACTAGGATACACCGCTACGCAAATCGAGAGGAGAAACTGCAGCGCCGCATGCTGTGACAGAGGTATACACAGTGTAAGCAGTCATGCGGTTTCATTTCCATTTGGTCCAGTGACAGTCTGTTTGTGATGGTCTTTCACTGGTTAATCTCACCTTTAAATGAAATGAAATGAAATTAAAAACAACCGAAGCCGCAGACCTTCTGGGGATCGCGCTTCGTTTTGACGGCTGGAACAAGACGGCCCCACGGGAAAGAGAATTAGACCAAATAGCTGCTTATCGCTACCTTGCCGGGAAGGGGTGTGTCTCTTCCACTCCGACGGGCACTGGCTGCGGTTTTGCCGGACCGGCTCGCCGCGGCGGCTGACCCCAGCCTTGGCAGAGCCCCCCGTAACCCGTGGCGTGGGCTGAGCGCAGCCACAACGATGCCAAGACGGGGCTTATCCTGACGGATAGCTTTATTATCACCTCCTAATTACAGGTGGATTTCCAGGTGGATACATTACCTGCGGGTCGCTTAATGGTGCTTCGGGAGTGGGGGGTTAGTGTTACAGAGCGCAGGCTGCCGGGGGACAGGCTGCGGGGGTCTCTCGGAGCTCCTCTATCGCCCTGCTCCATTATTCACGAGCCCCTGGAGATCAGCCCGTCCCTGAAACTGAGCAGGCCCCTTGAAGTGTGTCCGTCCCCTGACCCAGGCCTGGGAGAGTGGATCCAGGACATGGGGCGGCCGTACAGCCCCCCCTTCCTTCATTCACACGCAGCGGCAGGAAAAATGCCACGTGGTTCCGCATGCCACACCCACCAATAACAAGCTATTTTATTTTTCAGATATTTAAATGTACCATATAACAAGCACGCGAGCCCACGTGGTGTATAATGTAATACATATGTCGCAGCACATTACCAAATAATTGCTACATTCAGAATAAACGCTAATTTGCTTAAATAAAATATTTTTATATAGATGTTCAACTTTAAGTCTTTTGATCATTTTGATCTCCTGTTTAAACAGTTAGACACCGACAGAAGAGAAGGCAGTTCGCTTTAAAGCCATCTATGCACGCTTTTAATTTTCGGGGATGCTGCAGACCTTACAGACTGATCCGATTTTTTCCCAAGGTGCAGACACTCCCGGACTCATATATATCAGGTTAGCATATGCACTGTTTACATTACGGATAAGTGCCCTTATGAAATACAGCTCGAGTAAATACAATCGAGTGCTGAAGATGTTACAGCATTACAGCCCACCGATAATGCGCAGAGCTAAAATTGCTAAAGTAGCCTGTATACACACGGGCAATGCTAAACATTCCATGAAGATAATAGCTGTACGGCGGTGTTTAACGTGCGAAGCTTTTGTAAAAGAACAGGCCAGCAGTAAACTTCAACTTCTCTGTGAAAGTTATAATGACTTCCGGGGTGAATTGGTCCATAAAAGCTGAACACAAAAGCGTCCTATCATCTCACGGTCATTTATTAATTGTGCACCAGAAAAATATTATTACACAACCATAAAATTAATAATAGCACGAATAATAAAGTAAAAATTAAGTAAAAAAAAAAAAAAAACAGTCTAAATTGGAATAATCGTTAAAACAAAATAAATTTGTTTGAGTGGCCTCATACATTCTCTGAGGCTACAGTCTGCCATAGGTGTGGGATTCTCCTGCTGGCTGGGTTTTGTGTTGTGATAAAGTTGCACGATAATTTCGTGGTGCAGAACAATCCACAGGATTCTTGTTTCCTTCCTAACATTGCTATACTTAAACAGTACCTTAAATGAAAGTCAAAAACTGCGGGAACTCAGCACAGAAACGAATCGCCTACATGCTCGAATCTTCAACTAACTTGTCATGTATTTATTCTGCTATGAGCTACACCCGGTCTATATTAAAGTACAACATTTGTGCCGTAAATGTTTGTATAGGCCTATCACAACTGCAGAGATAACGTATAACGAGATTCTTATCTGTACTGAATACAGAAAAGCCCAAACGACGGCAAGGCAGTCAGCGATGCAGTGAGTTTTTTTGGATAGTGTCATATACTGTGCTGCTGTCGGGGATTTGTGTGAGCCAGGGAACTGCTGCATATGTTGGGTATTCCTCTCTTTTGCAAGATTTTTCAATGACGTTCTAAAATCCTAAGCTCAAAGCTTCGGCATTACAGGTTTAGGTTACAGGGAGATAACAGACTGCATTTCTGTCTTTCCCACCGGTGCTTGTTTGCTTATAATCATAGGACCTTAAATGGTGTCTATGAGACTGCGCAGCTCAAATAAAGGATTTAAGTACAGTCACTAGCCGAACCTGAATACAGGCTCCTGATGAGGAAATGCCGGCGTGTTAAGGGCTCGGAGGATAGTGGGGGAGTCTCAGCACTGTGCTTAACGGTCTAAAACAGCATCTTCAGTGTTTCACTTTGTCCTTGACGGGTCTCATCATCATCACCATCATTATCATCTTCACGTCTAAACAGTTTCCTGAGGAACCAGAGGAAGGTCTTTGAAACTGTTTTTTATTTCTTTAAATGTGCCTCATAGGTGCCATGGGCAGAATCGACCTAAACAAAACAGAAATTATGAACACGACACGACATGTGGTTCCTTTGCGTATTTTGAAAGCAATCCATTTCATTTCAAGCGCAAACCCATCTTTAACCTCACGTCAATGCGAATTTTTCAGAAACTGTGTAAGAAATAGGCGTCGATTGCTAATATAAAATATACATTTCGTGGGCTATAATCCACGGTTATGCTTCCCTGTTGGATCTCGCCGTAACATAATTTGTCATAAAATCACAATTACAACTGTAGCGCATTTATTAAAGAGTAATACCCTCCCCCCAGTTCACTGCCCGGCTGTGATCACCAAGACCCTTCGCCCTGGAAGAAACATGACCCCCAACTTTCACAGAGGTTACACTCAACAGCGACATCAGTCCCTGCAAAAACACGCTCGGTGCCACAACGTAATAAATGATCACAGCCAGGTGTATTAAGAGGCTTAAGTGCCTCAGGATAGAGGAAAACAGGATATTTTAAGACCGGAGGCTTAAAGTAGCGAGTTAGTAGGCAAGCGCATAAGCTAAGCTAGATGAACGGCGGGACGCGGGGGCGCTGAGTATGGGATGTTTAGATAGTCATGGTGGGATTCAGTATCCCACTGCGTTCACCCTCCGGCCAGGATAAAAAATGGTTAAAGTGAGGAGATATTCAGCCTCGCCATCAACCAGAGTCCCCTGAAAAGTGTACAGCTTAATATTTCCGCATAATCATTAAGTGCTTGCGGGGATTTTTTACGTTTCTAATCGCGTTTTCGGTTCCAAAAATCACCTTTGCCGGCACGCAAAGCATGTCGAAGATATTGGTTTTTGGTAAATCGTGGAACACGGTCACGGCGGACAGCAAAGCAGTGATGCAGGGACATGCCCACGGCGAGCGGGCTCACCACGGTAATACACGTCTCTGCAGGTAACCCGCACAAGAGCGTGCAAACAATGAAGAAAAAAGTTTACTTTCAGAAAGAAGAGCCGTGGCACAGAAAGGCCGTATCAAAATACTGCGTCTTGTTTAATTTTCCCCTTTTATCCACTTTCATAAATATTATTGTCAAAACCCCCGCATTTTCCATGCGAATTATTTTTTAACAAGCACGTCAAAACCGGAGCGCGTTATATCAGCCTGCCCTCGTAATATTTATTTTCATATGCAATTGTTGCTTTCAAAGACTGTTTTTCCTTATTCATGCTTACGTGTAGATTTACAAAAAAGCATAATAGTAACAATAAAGGGAGAATATTTTGTCTTCTGGAAAGCAAACGGCGCAGGAGAGACGGCCGGCGTCGGGAGCCGCGGCGCTTTACAGCCGTGCGGGAATGCCGGGACTCGGTGATGTCAGAGCGCTCGGGTCGTTTGAAGGTTAGCAGCCTGCGATGGGTTCACGCAAAGTTCACCCGCATATATTAGGCAGCCAGATCTTTCATTCCCTGTGACAAAACTAGTAGGAAATGAGCTGTATTGAGGCAGGATAAGCCATTCACCGTCGGAGGGGAGATGCGCTTTTAAACACACGGGGCCGCGGTATTTCTGAAACGTTTCTACCCGCCGCCTTTGATTGAAGATCGGAGCTTTTGTGTCGGTAACGTTGCGGGACGGTGCTGCGCTGTGTTTCTGGAGAAACGATTCGGAAATTTTACTGAGGGTATCGATCGTACCCCCCTTTTCCCCCTTTCTTTGAATCTGGACTTAGTGGGAAATGGCAAGCGATCATTTGGATCAATTACAAGCTTTTAGCCGTGTTGTCTGTCATAATTCATGATTGTAGTCGGGGAGGGAAGACCAACATCTGACGTGCCAAAAGAGAGGCAGAGTTTGATGGAGTTCGGTCCAGTGTAGCGGGCGATTTACACCCTCCCTTTAAGGAAAAAAAGCAGTAATTTGCAGTCTTCTGTAGAGGTGCATCATGTTTGACTGTATGGATGTGCTAGCCGTAAGCCCGGGACAGATGCTGGATTTTTACACCTCAAGTCCGTCTTCGTGCATGCTCCAGGAAAAAGCTCTGAAAGCATGCTTCGGCGGGCTGGCGCAGAGGGACTGGCAGCATCGCCGGAGCGCGCAGTGTAAGTCCCGCTTGGTCCGGGGGTCTCTAAACCGCCTCTGCCTGTCCGATCCGATCCACCGTCACCAAATAAATGTAACGATCGCGGTAATAAGATAGTGTCTCTGCCTGGGTATCATACGAACATGTAAGTTTCACTTTCTGAACATGGTGCTTCTTTAATTATAATCATATGTGATCTATAGACATAATCATGGTTTTAACACGTAAGTTTGCAATAACTTAAAAAAGAACTGTTACACATTTAAGTCGTGTTCTGTAGCATGGAATATTGCATTGGCGTTTATAACATGTATAGGCCTATGTAAAATCTGAGAATAGCTGCTGCACTCCCGGGTGTGTTTTGTGTGTGTCTGTGTGTATGTATTTAACATATTTATAGATATATGTGTATTACAGAAGACGTTGGTACTTGTTGGTATCTTGCAGTTGTACCTAACGGATGTCGTTGCGTGTTGAATACCGGGGAAGCATTGTGCGTGTGTGCGGTAGCGTGTCGGTACTCTGGGAGCGTGCGCTCGGGTGGGGGGCGCGGTGATCTGGACGGGGCGCGGTAATGCCAGAGGTGATTAGGTGCTGCCCCGGCACCGCAAATGACAAGGGGCAGGTTGTTGTGTCTCCAAGGGGTCGGAAATGTCAGCAAAAAAAAAAAGACCCCGCTCTCCGGCTGTGATTTGGACGGATTGCCTGCCAACTCTCCGGCAAGGTTAAACGGGGGGAAAATGTCATATTTTGCATTTCGTACCGTCGGTGCTAAATATAGGCTATAAGATTTTTTTAAATGTACTATTCACGTTTTTAGGTGAGACCTTTTGTTCGTTTTTCCCCTTAATGTATAAGCAGCTCTGAATTGTACATGCTTCTAATGGATAATAGTTGGTTTAGCTCTAATGTTGCACGTCAAAGATAAATTTCCTCAATACCCGTAGTAAAATATAAGCCTAAAAATTAGAACTGTTAGACAAACAAAAAGCACTCATCAGCTGCATGATATGTTGAGCAGTGGCATGTTACTTAATATCATGTTTAGGTGATATACTGACCACACTCACGATAACGGCGCTCCTTCCTGGCGTTTTACGGCGTTTCTCCTATTCACAACACAAATGGAAGGGGCTCTTATCTGTAAGCCTAGCGTGTTAAAATTACGCAAAACAGTTCATTGCAAGTGCAATAAATTAGACACCTTCTATGACTGCTGTAAAGTTACACATAATGTCGGCGCCTCTTTATGCGCGTTGTCACGTTTTCAGACTCTGAGAAGCTCTGCTGTCTAATGTTTGCCGATGTCCTCTGACAAGGTGCCTCCGCTGCACTTTTCGTTCAGTCCGGATCTTCTGGCTTTGTATGTTTTTTTTGTTTTTTGTTATAATATTCTTCTGTTAAATTAGAGTTAGCCTGTTCCCGCGATAGTAATAAAGCTGGACATAGCTGTTTTGGGCCTCAGTGTCACGTGTGTTGTGTACACTGCTAGAATAACTAACCTTAATTAAATTACAGTAGAACCAATCACCTTCAGTAATTGCTGCACCTAAGTGCCCCCTTTTTATTTTTAATTAGATTAGAAAAAAAAACATTGTTCTAAAACGCCTTTAAAAGCCGAGAATACGCTTATGCGTTCAGTCATATGCAGGGTAATGAACTGAGGTCGGTTCTGTTTTCGTTTTTCTAAGGACTTCTCGATATAATCTCCCATTCATGGTTAAATAAAATATGGTTTATTATCATTTACAGACTGCTCTCGAGGCTCCATAGAAATCCTTGATTCTCCCCTAATAAAAATGTAGATGGTATAAACTGCCCAGAACGAGTGAAACCCGACCTGTTTTAAGGTGGACTTTCGTCAAAAATGTTCAATAATAGACCTACTGAACCGGATCACGTGTACTTCAAAGTAATAATACTTTTTTTTTTTGCATGCTATAAAACGTTTTTGTTTTTTGTTTTAAACAAATCTTTATACCCTAAATATAAAACAGAGCAGTGGAAGAATAGTTATGATTTTAGTAACTTCTAATGAGCCTAAATTTTAATCTTGTAGATTACATTGCTAATTTATAGGTTTTAATTAGTAGGCCTTTTTTTCGTAAGTATGCCTAACGCAATAATATAAAAATCTATCCTTATTAAAAATAGACGTTTCAGTCCTGGCCAGTTTTGCTTTCTAATGTTTACTCTGAAAACATAACGCATAAATTAGTTGTGTTAAATATTTTGTATTTATACTGTATTTATAAATCAAATTATACTTGAAACTGAAACAAATTTAATCCCATCTTATCTGACGACTTTTATGCAGACTGCGGGTATTATTAGAAATACCGTTTAATGTGTGTGATTTTTGAAATCTACATCTAAATATGTATGCAGACCGGGGGGAGGGGGAGGGCGCTCGGATTGCGGAGCCCGTCAACCGGGCCGTGACCTTGCAAGTGGATTTGATGGAGACCATGAGCTGAAAGTGAAATAGAGGCGGTAGGGGCTGCAATCGGTGACTGTTTGCCATGAAGCGGAGCCGCCAAAAAGCCCACAGCTGTTTTCCGTGTCTGGCTGCAGTTCCGCGTCTTTCTGAAGCCGCGTGAGGATGGACGAGTGACTTTGGTACGCAGGTTAATTTTGGACGTGCGCTGTTGCCTGCAGTCATTAAAACGTTTATTGGTGAAGCATTTACATTAAAAAAATTATGTTTAACGTTTTCAAAGACTAATAAATTAGCTAAACGTTAACTAGATAATTTCCAACAAAAGCCATTTTCGTTAAATGATCTTTTATTCCCATTAAAAGGATCCCACCCGCTGCATTACTGGATTCTATACGGAAGCATAAAACATGGAAAGGTTTTTATTTTGTGTGGATTATTTTATGTTAGTGTAAAATATTTCGGGTAGCCTAATTCTTGCACAGGCCTAAACAAGTAACTATGACGGATTTCATTATACATACCAATTAGGTAAATAAACACCAAAACGGTCTTATCACAAATGAGTCACCAAAGCTGATGAGGACCGTCTCAGTCGTTTATCAGACCCTGGCGTGCTGTGCTGGGTTACAGATCGATATTCACACGCATATCCCTACACTAATACGCATGTGATCTGGTGTAATTACGCCCTCCACAAGCACTTCTGAAAGTGACATGAAAGGCCATTAGTACAGCTTGCACGACAAGCTAATTTTGTGGGCAAGAAGGAGCTGGGGGTGAGAGAAAAACGTGTAAGTCTTGATGAAAGGGAGCCGTCAGAGGCAGCCATGCTTAATCGAGTTTATTAAGAGTATCGGCGCCCCTGCTTTGAGCCGGAGGACATGACGGAGCGACAGTCTGAAGCGCGGTAGCGCGGAGTCAGGCCCTTAAAGCATCGCCATTGTCTTCTTAATTAATACCCTAATCGTCCTTGACACTTTTTATATTTAACGGTTTGTAATCTGGTATTTTGAAATATACTAATTTTCCATGAAAATGGCGTATTGTGAAATCTGACGAGTGTAAATTCTGGCCTCTGCCTGTAATACACGGATTAATTTTTTTTTTCATTTCTTGTGTTTGTTTTAAGTCAACCAGTCAGACCCCAATCATCTCATTTCAGAAGAGGCGTTTGGACATGTTGGAGCAGTTCAAAACTCGGACGCCCGTGATTACATAGTGCTGGGCTGGAAACCGCAACATTTGGCGATTCTAGGGGGGGAAACGTTCAAAGATGACGTGGCAGTGGGATCTTCGAGGTTCTTCGTTGCATATCTGTCCTGATCCCCTGTCTTACTGGTGGCTTGGTGCAGGTGGGACTGCTTTTTGGTGTAGAATGCAGGAGAGCTAGGTTGGTATCTCCTGTGTGAGGATAATCTCGCAGGTAACCCAGTGATGATCTCCGGGGGGGGGGTCAAAGATGGGTTATTGGTGCACTTTATGTGTGTGTGTGTGCATGTACATGCCCATAATGGATTTTTAACATGAAACAAGCAGACCTGTGATTCAAACCAAGAACCTCGGGTAGAAAACAAAGGTACTTTTGATTTGAGTTGTGCTCTGATTTGCCGGAGTGTTTTTTTTACACTTTGTGCTGTGGATGTGTTATGGAAAAAGGAAAGATGTATGGATGGACTTTTGATCTCTGTTTGGTGCTTCCCCTGTACCACTGCCATCCCATAATTAAAAGCAGACCATATGTAGTTTCTGTATATAAGTTTCTCTCTGTACGTGGCCGGACCGTTCACTGCACTCTGTGTGAACTTTGACTGTCTCCTTTGTCCCCTGTACACCAGTCGTGTGCTTCCTGCTGCGGTTTCGGGGGGGTGGGTGGGGGGAGGCAGGAAAAATAACGACGCCGATTTTTCAGAGGAGGAGTTGACTGTGTAGGACACCGGTGGCATCATATAATCGGTCAGATTCGCCAGACGTCTGCCCTCCCACGCCGTAACTACTCCACGCTCCCTTACTCCCGGTAGTGGCTCTCTCCCTCTCTTGCTGCTGATGAGACTCATTTGTGTGTATCCTGGATGTCAGTAGGGTCACCCAGAGGAAAGTGTCCCTGAAGTCCAGCCCCGGTGAGGCTTAACATTCACGCCGTGGTGGGGATTTTTGTGAAGACTGGTGGTGGAATTCGTGTTATGGGTTTAGTTCCCTTTGGGGATGAATGTGGGGTGAGTATAGGGCTGGCCAATATCTAGGGCAGCCACTAATGACTATTTTTCTAAAGATTAATCTATCAACTATTTTATTGATTGGTAGATTAAGCGATTAATTTTGCTCCAGAAAATTAACTTGACCGTTTAAGTTTATTTTGACAGCAGATTGTATGTCATTGCCATGCTTTAGATCAGTGGTTCCCAAAGTAGGGGTCGCGACCCTCTGGGGGGTCATGAGACATTGAGGGGGGGGGTCGCGAGATGATTTCCAAGAAATCAAATATTTCTAATAGTTTAAAAAAAATTAACATTTTATCAACATTTTAACATTTTATATTAACATTTTATCCATAACTAACAAAAGATAAAAACTAGTAGTTA